TTTAAACTCGTCTTTCGATAATATATTATAATTTTTACTAAAACGTTTTTAAACATGAATAGTCTAAAAATCTCAAACTTTTTAGTAATTTTAAATTTAACAACGTTTTTTCTTTAAAAACTGTCCACTACGCTACTTTACGGTATGTTTTATTGCACAATGTAGTATTTAATGGGGGTTTTCTGCGTCATAATATGCTATTTAAATTAATATTATAACAAGGTTTAATGTATATATTTGTTTTAAAGTTAAATTAAAGCAATATTCGTACCAAACAAATATTAAATATAATATAAATTTCATAGCAACAATAGGAGAAGTGACGTTAATGGAAATTTGCGTCACGTGTAGGAACTATAAGGCATAGCTTACATAAAACTTTTGTTTTTAATTATTGTTCGTTTTCGACATCGTCTACGCCATTTTTTACTCTTCAGCTAGTTCAGTTATCTTAATAAAATGCTTCTTTACTTTTTTTCTCCTGAAAAAGTTCTTGCTTTTTGGGATCTTGTTTTATTTTTTTCTCTGTATCTTTTAAACCACCCCGCAGCAACGATTGACCACTCGATCGAAGTTGGACTTACATAGTTTGACTATTTGTCCCAGGTAAACATACTCGTCAACAGCTTAGTGCTCACGTGTGACATGGACGTTACACATGATCTTTGTTTTTATCCATGTTCATCATATAACCTATCCATTAGGAGGCACTATTAAGGTCATTGAGCATAGTGCTTAGGTCCTCCATCGATTCTGACATAAGTAATATATGGTCGGCAAATCGAAGGTGACTGATGTCCTTGCCATTAACGTTAATACCGTATCCTTTTGTTGAAGAGTTTCGGGGATATTACTTCACCCTGTTTCACACATCTCTACAGTCGGATAGGTTTCGTACTCTGGTTTTGTACTTGGATAGCCACCGTACAAACACTTTTTTACTTCGCTATACCGACAGTCAACTTGGCACCATTGAAAGGACTGCAGCTCCGCTCAAATTTCGACGGAAGCAAAGGCTTTCTTATAGTCCACATACGCAATACAATGTGGCATATTGTGCTCTTCGGACTTCTGTAGTATATGGTGCTATAGCCTTTTCGGAAACCGACTTGTTCGGGAAGCTGGAAGTCATCGAGTCTGCGTATAAGACGATTAGTAATGACTCTCGAAAACAGCACGTAGACGCGGCTCAGAAGGGAAATCGGTCTGTAGTTCTTCAAGAAAGCGTTGTCGTCTTTCAAGAAGAACAATACCACCGCAATTCTGGTCCTCACCTCCGGAGTAGTGCCACCATGGAGGACGGAATTGAAGAGCTTTTGAAGGACTAAGTATCGGTTTTCCACACGCTTTCTGAAGCTCCGCTGTAATTCTATCCTCGCCTGGGGAGTTGCCGTTTTAAAGGTGCTGGAGAGCCATTCTAATCTCGCTCAGGCTGACGTCCGGGATATTATCGAAATAGCGTCGGATAAGACTTTCTCGTGGATCGTTACTCACACTTGCGTGTGGCTCCAACGATGTGCCACCTGCCACTAGCCACATTTTCCTGAGTGCTCGTAGAACAGAGTCTACCTTCACGAATTTTATTATGGAGAGAAACATGACCACGATCTTATTCTGCGCATCAGTGTCGCACGGTGCTCAAATTAGGTGTTACTGTAAACCCTCTTAAAAGCATTTTGAAGACGAGTAGTACAAAGTTGTGGAGGGCTAATTTTTAAGAATTTTTTTATTTATAAAAAATTATCCCCCTCAAATCTTTTTGCATAAGTTCCATTTTGGCTACGGTAAGCGAACTTCAACTTATTGTAAAAAAAATTAAGGTTAATAATCCTATGCTCTAGTGAGTCTATAGTGTAGTTAGGACTAAAGTGAATTTTTTAGTACGCAGATGTTCACACATTGTAAAAATCATTGAAATGGTGTGATTGAGTTATAATTGTTTCGGTTTCTTTTAGTAGTTTTATTTTTTTCACGTTGCTTCCTCCCAGTATTTCTGATTAAATATTAAAAAAATCTCTAAATCACTCCTGGCATTGCTTTCCACCTGTTCGTGAGGTTTCATTACAATCGGTTCAACCATTACGAAGATTAGCGCGGACAGACGGACAGACAGACAGACGGACAGACAGACAGACGGATAGACAGACGGACAGGCAGACAGACAGACGGACAGATAGACAGACGGACAGACAGACAGACGGATAGACAGACAGACGGACAGACAGACAGACGGACAGACAGACAGACGGACGGACAGACAGACGGACGGACAGACAGACAGATGGACAGACAGACAGACGGACAGACAGACAGACGGACAGACAGACAGACGGACAGACAGACAGACGGACAAACAGACAGACGGTCAGACAGACAGACGGACAGACAGACAGACAGACAGACAGACAGACGGACAGACAGACAGACGGACAGACAGACAGACAGACGGACAGACAGACAGACGGACAGACAGACAGACGGACAGACAGACAGACGAACAGACAGACGGACGGACAGACAGACAGACGGATGGACAGACGGACAGGCAGACAGACAGACAGACAGACAAAAATTTCAAAAATGGTTACTCTTGTCTCATTCGCGTGCAAATAACCCCTCAGCAAAAAGGCAATGATTTCGATATTACAAACATACAGTTAAATTTTATTTATATTTACGAGTATAGATTATTTATCTACTTCTACGTGGCTTAGTTATGTGGCCGTGGTAGGAAAAGGGGAGATCTCCCGCCGGGCAAGGTTTTCTGCCCGGGGAGCGGCCGACACTCCGCGTGATAGTTTTTTTTTTTTTTTTTTTTTGCGCCCGAAGCAATTAAAGGACTACCCTGTACGTAGGGAGGCGGAAAATGCATTACGCATACCACGATAGCCGGTCTATCGTGGTTATGGGGGACTCACTGTCCTACCGGGGACCCTAAGTGATACCCCCTAAAAACCGCCTTTGGGGACAGGCAACCGGCTGATTAAGCTCTATTGTGCCTTATCATGAGCGACCCTCTTTTGGGAAAAGAGGGCGCAGGCGGCTAAGTGCCGCTGAGGGAGTGCCTACGAAGGCAAATTAATGTCAGATATTACAATAATTTTATTTAATTAGAGTTGGCCTGAGCCGCCAGGAGACAGTTCAGGTCGTTTGAAAGTTTATTAGGCGGGTCCGAGAGAGAGTTTCTCGGCCTGCGAACACGATAGCGAGAGGGGGGTGGGGCTGCATAAGAAGCTGCCTCACGAATTAAATGGTTTGGGTGCGACTCTGAGGCTTTGAAGAAGTTCTCAGAGAGTTTTTTAAGAAATTGTTGAATTGTTGGGAGCTCTAAGTCCCGATGAAGGTCGGCATTACGAACGTACCACGGTGCGTTCGCAGCTCGACGACAGAATAGGTTCTGAACTATTTGGAGTTCATTTAAAATGTTAGGGTTTGCGTGGGCAAAGACGGGGCCCGCGTAGGACATGACTGGTCGTATACATACCTTGTAGAGGGTACGCTTGTTTCGAAGGGACATTTTACTGTGTCGGCCCAACATACTGTTGAGCCTACTCAGATAAAATCGTGCGTGACGGGTTACTCTTTTGACGTGGGGCTTGAAAGTAAGCCCTGTGTCTAGAGTGACACCTAAATATTTGGCGGACGTATGCCAGGGGACAGGGGTCCCTAGCATACGTATTGGAGGAGTGTTTTTGAGACGGCGTCGTTTATAATCGAAGTGAACGGCGGAGCTCTTCTCCGGGTTCACATCGATGCGCCATTTTTTTGAACCAAGCTCCTAGGTCATCAACTGACTTTTGGATCTTGTTCCGTATGAAGGGTAGTGAGACACCTTTGCAGTAGATGGCAGTGTCGTCTGCAAAGAGGGAGAGTTGAACACCTTTCGACGGGATGGGAATGTCGTTGGTGAACAGGATGTACAGCAGAGGAGCAAGTACTGAGCCCTGAGGGACACCAGCCTTGATAGTTCGCTGTGAAGAAAGCGTGCCTTCGTGTCTAAAACGAAAGGTACGATGTTTTAAATAGGAGGCCACGAGACGAACTAGACGATCGGGGAGACCTATTTTATAGAGCTTGTAGATGAGGCCTGTGTGCCAGACTCTATCGAAAGCTTCCACGTGATAGGTCGGAGAAGTTCTATATATACTGTTTATGATTCGGAATGTTGATAGCGCGATTAAGGCTTCGGTGTGTTTTCGCTTGTGGCGCGACGACAGCGCCGCTACAGTTACGACAAAAATGTTTATTACTGGGGAACGTTAAATGTAACGGCGTTTAGATAATATGTTTGATTTCCTTCTTTAACTGACTTTGGTACACTCGGGCCGCACTCTTGAAAGTCTTTATACGCCACCATGAATAGGTAACATAGCCTTGTAGGATGTTTAATATAAATTAATAATTATATATAAGTAATAATTACTATTAATAACTATTATAATATAATTAAATTATAATAATACCGCCCGCATCGTCCGCAGGTTTCTTTCCCGTTCCCCCTAACCCTCGGCCGTTTTGGTCTCCCTTGCTGAAGGCTTCCATCTGGTTGGGATTTTATCTATTTATGTATTTTTTATGTATTTATTTTATTTTCATCTACAATTATATATTTATAGGTACTCCAACTGTTTTCGTGTTTGGTTCAAACGCAGAAAAAGTTGGATATTTCAATTTACATTCGTTTTATATAAAATTCAAAATACTGATGTGCTCTCAACCTCTGAAGAGGCACTATAACAGGTCTTTTATTTTAAGGATCAAAAAGTTAAAAAAGGTGGATTTCTAAATATTCTCTTCTTATTTAGGATCTCTAATATAATCGTAAAATCGACGCATTTCGAACACAAAGCAACAGGTCGTCGCCTTCTTAAGTTTTCGCGTCCGTTACAAAATCGTTCAGTAGACGGGCGGCACTCAAACAAATAACAATAGCTTTTCACACTTTACCAATTTTTTAAAATCTTTATATCAATATTTAGAATATACGGTAGAATTTATAAATGCCAGATAAATATGACCCTAACGCACTATGGCTGGCACTCAGTGAACATAGTGAAGCTAATTTATTTAATGCGTATCCGAAGTTACTGGCGGAACTGTTTCGCCAGGAGGATGAAGCGCGGCTGGAAGGAGACACCAGCGAAGCGGAAAAACTGGTACTTCCTAGCGATAAAGAATGGCGAATGGAACAATACTTTCTTCTTGTCGCTATGCAGAAAACCTTGGAGACAGACACGCAAGTATTATATGCGTTACGCATGAAAAACAATAAAACTAATTATATCTGATAAAAATAAACAGAAAAATACAGAAAACAATGAACTTTAGTTAGTTTATTTGCAGAGCAATTAATTTAAACAGACTATTAAAAATTAATAATATCTTTTTTATAAGGTTTTATATGAAATTACATAACGGTATTATCATAATAATGATACTAGTTAACATACCATACCAACTACAACCTTGTTGATTACTAGGGTTAATTTACTTACTTAGGGTATTGTAAGTGTATCTTATAATTTTTGAGATGAGTTTTCTGTACCCTATAGTTTGTTCTCTTACATATTTATGAAAATTTATTGACAAACCAGTAAATATGGCTGACTTATTGCAAGAATTGCAAGACATTAACAAAGAGATAGGTAGTGCGATAAACTTTGAAGCAGAAAGTAATCTAAAAAGTAAAGGATAAAAACTTAAATTAATATTGAGTAGGTACTGTTTAAATACACGTATGTAAATATTTAATAATTATCTTCTAATATCAAAGTATTGTAGTAATGGTTGTATTAATTCAAACTTGCTATGATTTTAAATTATTTATTTTAGCCGATCCTTTACTGCACTCAAAGGTGATTATTTCTACCAAGTCTGTAACTACGGACTAAGGGAAAGAATAAAATATTCAATATTCTTAAATAGAATAATTAAAATACAAATGCCTGTCAGTCCTACTATTATTTAAATTTTTATACTTTAGGTTATCTCACCTAACATTTAATGTATTAAAGTTGATAAAAAGAATCGTTGAAATAATTTATTTCGATGCAAATGTTTTCTTAAGAACAGTTCATAATTTAAAATTAAGATATTTCAATAATAACTAAAATTGATTGTTATGTAACATATACATTGAAAACAAGGGTAAAGGCAAAATAACCTGATGTTGACTGGCTCTGTAAACTCGCATGTCAGTGGGTGATGGCCGTGACCCGCGACCTGCCTTGCAATAGTTTCCATATGTGTTTCATGTACGTATATATGTGCAAAATATTGACTGATCAGTGATAGTAAAGGAGTATTCTCATATACATTTACCAAGCACATTCATGGTGTGGTAATCAAATCTAAAACATTTAAACATTGCAAATTCCATTTTCGTCAGGTAGTGGCGGCGTAGTAGAATCCACTATCCCAAACCCCAAGTCATCCCTTGGGTGTCGTAAGACAGAGAGTAAAAGAAGCAGGGCACTGCCTGTAGCATTTTCCTGATATCAACTCAAAAAATAAAAATAAATCTTTGAAAAATAAGTCGATCTATAAAGGACACCTAGGGTCAGGATTGGACTTTTAATAAGTTGTAATTTTTGCACCATTGGAGTAGCTAATATTTTAACAAAAACTTTAAGAAAGTTTTACATTTTCCTTGAATGATCATGTTGAAGCGTCATGGAATTGCTAACTGTATATTGCTAATTTTTGATAAAATACTTATTATAATAAAAATTATAAACATGTATAGCTACTATTATAGCTAGCTACATATAATTAAATAAACAAAATAAGTATATAGTTTTAAAAACAATGTAGGGAATTAGCTGAATGCACATCTCGATCTATAATCGGCATAAAAGAATGCGATGGTCTCCGCTTAAACCAAAAATAGAAAAGGGGGCAAACGAACATATGGTTCACCTGATGTTTAGTGACTACCAAATTCCAGGAACAACCGCAACACCAGGGGAATTGCAGGTGCGTTGCCGGCCCTTTAGAAAGGAAAAGGCTCGTTTATTGAAGGTCCCCAGGTCGTATCGGTCCGGAAAAATCGCCGGTGGTAAATTGTTGCACAGAGAGGTTGTGCGCGGAAGGAAACTCCTAGTGAAACGTACAGTGGTGGACCGCCAAGCATCCAGATGATGTGGATGGTATCAGGAGGTTTGTCGCGTAGTGCGTTCATGAAATTTGGCGGCTGCATTTGTATGCTCATTTCACGTCAACACATTCATAAAGCACTGGATGAAGTTGATGTGAATTGGCCAGTGATACAATTTTCACGGATTGCTGCCAAAGAATAGAATAATTGGTTGCTGCAGAGCTCAAAATGCCGCCCCTCACTCACTCTTTCCATTTTCAAAGTATCTTAATATACTGTAACTAATATAAACTCGCTAAAGTAATTGTAAGTCAACTTATATTGTATAAAAATTATTCAAATATATTTTTGTACTTGGCACAGTGGTATGATACACAAAAGGGATAGTGTGCGTGTGCAGATTATCGATATTTTTAGAACCATCAATGTTGTAGCATTGATGGTTCGTTCGTTGTATTTTAATTGAGTCTTAGAAAAACTATTTTTTTAATGATTTTTTTCGATCTTTACTGACATCAACAATGGTATTATATAAATACCGTAGGATAATTAGATAAACCAAATTTTCTGCAAAAATATAACTAGCAATTAGACAATGGCTATGACATTTCTTAATCTTACTGAAAAAAGGTTAGGGCTTTTGCAACTTTGAATGTACTTAACTAGGATTGGCTTCATTTTGGTTTGTAGGCGTATAGTTTACGAGTAATGATTTTTTTTGTAAAATAATGTTACGAGCTTGAGGTTCGTGACAATAAAAATTGCCGATAGAATTACCTAAATTAACACTTTAATTCACTTTACACTAATTAAAGTTAAAAACACCAATAATTAATCACACTGATTCACTTTATCTCGCTCCCAAGCTTCGCTTGTCTCGCCAAATCCAATACTTCCTCGATCGCACCTTGCAACGCCTATAAATACACATTAGTACCGAATCATCCAGAACATTCAAGTAAATACGCGCACCGATCGACAAAGCGCCGAAAGTTCGAGAGTCAGCTTCCAGAAGCTTAGTTCTTCTGTTCGATACTAGATGGCGCTAGTGCTGTCGACTTCGGCGCGTAACAATAATAACCGCACTTTTTATAGAGGAATACTGACCCAAAGTTACTTCTGTAACAGCTTCGGCGCTGCAGTGTGTGTGAAGTGCAGCCCCTTCACCCTCGCGTAGCAAGTTGCAGGTACCCGTGCACGTCGTAACGGCTGAGGCTGGTCGCCAAGGGCAACCAATAAGCCAAAGCTGGACTGCTCTCCTTCCCCTCCTACGGCTTTACGAAAACACTCTAGGGGTATGGCAGACAAGACTACGTGGAGTCAGGGCGTGCTGATTCGTTTTTAGAACAGATTCGACCAATCGTCTAATTATCCGTGTTTTCGCGATATCCCTAGATTTTAGCGCAAAGTTCAGTTTATCTAATCCCACGACATATACAAAAAGAAACACATATGTTGTTAGAGCGCGTAGTGAAGACTCAAAAACTTCCTAATCGGGACGTTTTGCCTTTAGTCCGCGTCACGCAGTGCGACGAGAAAGATGCTGCATAGAAAATTTTAACAATAAAAATGTAATCGTATGTATTTAAAAGGTATACTAATTATGATTCTAAAGTTAACAAAACACAAAGAATCTCATATCACATGTAAGTATGCAATATGCCTCGATTATCTCGCGGCCTTTCATCACCCTGAGTCAGATGAAACTGCAAGAGCCGTATTATAGGCTGACAGCACCAACATCACAGAAAATAGAATATACTTCAATTTATTAGTATTTAATTATTTTCCTGATATTTTAATTTGTGGGTAAGAAAAAAAAGAAAGAGATTTTTTTAAAGGATAGGGTGACAAACGAGCACACAGTCCACCTGAAGGTGGAAATGGTTGCTGTGGCCCATAAACATCTACATCTATCCTCGATTACAAATCAAAATGCAGATGCGTTGTCACCCGTGAGGACTAAGATGGGATGCCTCGTTTCCAGTAAAATGGATCTCCGGTTCTCTACACTCACAGTACGAAACACAGCAGCATTAAGCTACTATTTTACGCTGGTATTCTGTGAGAGTGTGGTCCTTCCCCGGTCGAGCCGACCCGTTCGTGCTACAACTACTACTAATATGACTGCAGCATGGCTCTACCACATGAGTAAATAAACCGACGCTCTACCAAGTATTACATGATGGCAAATAAATTTGAAGCTATGTCAAACATGTGGTGATTGGTGGCCTGAGTAGTGAGTAACGTTTGTATATACTTACGTGTAAGTGACAACACTAGCTGTCCTTTTTTTTCGTATTATTTTAATCACGCCATCCTTTCATGATTCGGCAATGCTATGCAGTGAAATTTAAGATGAACGAAATGTGTGTGAACTCCTCAATCCTCTTAAAATTCCCATGCAGTCGCATGCGTCCCAAGCCAGAGCGGTCGCACCGCACAGCACTTTAAACCATTAAAATTTATATTTATAGACTACTTTTCTGTAAAGAAGTTTGGCATTGTACAATTTATACGAAATTTTCTATACTGTGGTCTAAACAAAAGTCAGTTACACATTGTATTTTATTTTTATTCTCCTGCCAATTTACGACATTTGCCGACCATACGAAAATGGCCCAATTTTATGGTAGATTAAAAATAAAAATTCATAGAGTAACTGGCTTTTGTTTAGACCAGTGATGCACAGACTTATTAAGACTAGGGGCCACTCGGGCAAATTATGAACTGATGGCGGGCCGCCGGAAGTATAGGTAATTATGAACTGATGGCGGGCCGCCAGGAGTATAGGTAATTATGAACTGATGGCGGGCCGCCAGGAGTATAGGTAATTATGAACTGATGGCGGGCCGCCAGAAGTATAGGTAATTATGAACTGATGGCGGGCCGCCAGAAGTATAGGTAATTATGAAATGATGGCGGGCCGCCGGAAGTATAGGTAACTAAAGACAATAAAGAATTGATAATAATGTATTAAAATTGAAAAAGAATTTATTAATTTGAAGCGTGGCACTGCATAGTGCTTACAATCTTTTTTATATTTGGCTCAAATTTACTTGTAGCAACACGTAAAACTGCTTCCAAACTTTCATTTGCAAGGCGGTTTCGATTTTTTGTTTTATTATTATTTAGTATTGAAAAGGTTTGTTCACATATATAGGTAGAACCAAATAAGCTGGCACATTTCAGAGCGTTTATGCGCAACTCTTTGTACGTATTTTTATCAATGCAGCGGTAAAAGTTCAGCAAGTCTCCTTCGTTGAATTTGTTGCGTAAATCTTGGTCGTTTTGAATGTCGATAATTTCTAACTGCATTGACTCTGGCGCATTTTCAACTGAAATCGTGAAAGGATTGCTGAATATGTCCAACATAGGTTTCACTTTTTTTAAACTCCGAAAATCTGTCTTGAGAAGATTGAATCAAAATATCTAGCTTTTCTACATAACTGAAATTAATCGCAGTTTTGTTGAATTTTTCAGCCATTTTCTTATAATTCGGAAAATGATTGTAATTTCCAGAATTCAATTGCGATCTGAAAAGTGTCAGCTTGAATTGAAAGGATGATACATGAGCGTAGAGCTGGGATATCAGTTGATGTTTGCCTTGAAGCCGTGTGTTCAAGACATTCAAATGATTTGTAATATCAACTAAAAAAGCCAAATCACACAACCAATCAGGATTTTTAAGTTCCGGTGACATCCCTTTGCTTTTCCGCCAGAAATATTCCAATTTCTTCTATTAAATTTAGAAATCGTTCCAGTTTCAATCCACGACTTAGCCACCTTACTTCTGTATAATACAGTAAATCTCCATATTCGCTTTCGATGTCATTAAGGAATTGTTTGAATTGCCTGTGATTGAGTCCTCGTGATTTTATAAAATTTACAGTCGAAACTACCACTTTCATGACATTTTGAAATTTAATTTTTTTAGAACAGAGGGCTTCTTGGTGTATAATGCAGTGAAACTGCATGAGATCTTCAGCGTTTATGTTTTTTCTTGCAGATGCTTATTCAGCAAAGTAACTAGCCCAGAATTGACACCAATCATCGAAGGAGTACCGTCAGTCGCAACTCCCGATAATTTTGATAAGTCCAAATCAGTTTTTGAACACTCATCCAAAAGTACATTGAGTATATCAACTCCTCTGGTTTGACCTTTCAATGAACACATTCCTAATAACTCTTCTAAGACTTCAAAATCTTGAGTAACACCTCGTATGAATATCAGAAGTTGAGCTGTGGAACTAATATCAGTGGATTCGTCGAGTGCTAATGAAAAAAATTCAATGATCTTAGTTTTTTCATTTAATTGTTCCGCAATATTACCTGACAAAGACATAATTCGTCTTTGGATAGTCATACGATTCAGTTGAATTTTCTCAAACTTTTTTGCTGCTTCTGGACACATTTTCTTAGCGCCAATTTCTATGCATTCTTTTACATTTACAAAATCCCCATCATTGAAGGGGCGATTTCGCTTTGCTATCATTCGAGAAATTTCATAACTAACTTCTGTAGCTATTTCGGAATCTTGAATGGGTTTTGTAAACATAGCTTGCTGACCAATAAGCTCCCGTTTTAAAGACAACATTTTTTGCTTTCTTAATTCGCCTGTAAAATTGGTAAAAGTAGGATGCTGCGTTTCATAGTGGCCTTTTTACATTATATTTCTTTGCAATCGCAACAGATTTCTTGCAAATTAAACAAACGACTTTGTTATGCGACCATAAAAAAAAGTATTTCTCAGTCCTAATTTCTTGAAACTGCCGGATTTTCATCTTTAACCTTACGTTTTTTACTAGGTCCTGGCTTGTCCATGTTGCGTTCTAATCCTGGCTAGGATTAACACAGCACCTAAAAACAATTACAGTACCTACTTAAATTACCCATCCTTTTTTAAATACCAAAAATAATTGATTAAATAGGAAGGGAAACACTTTTTAATAACAGAGTTTTACTTACGATTTTACAACACAATTATACACGGCACTTGACGGGAAATCTACGTTGAATGTGGATCAAAATAATTATGACACCGGCTAGTCGAGTTAAAATCTACACTAGAACTATTGACACTTCACTCAAATTAAAACCGAACTGTCGGTCGCTTTTTTTTGCGCCCGAAGCAAATATGGGCAACCTCCGGAAAGGGGGGAGGGTGGGAATTGGTTCCCTAACCTTTAGGTTACGTGAGATTGTACAACGCGACCTCCTTGGGAAGGAGGGGGGTCGCGCGGTTAGCGTGGCTTTTATACCGCGCGTATAGAGTCGAAAACTGTCTGGATAAATCACGAAACCGACTCTGGAAGCTTCGTGTATCTACCTACGCGAGCAATCGGGAATACGGGACTATTGCTGTCTCGCTTGCTTTAACAATATAACCCGTGGATAAGCCGCCACCGCGCCCCGCGCGTTCCTCGCGCAAGAAAACGAATTTAACCGAGATCAGCACGAACATTACCGACCGCTGTTACCGACGCATGCACGGCGCACCGATAAGCGCACTTAAGAGCGCGCGCGCGAGATTCAAATTACTTTTCGAACATATTTTTTTTTGGTTTTATTCTGGAATATAATTCAATATTTTTCGAATGTACGAGAGTATTATTTTTGCTGTCGGCTGGCCACCAGTATTCGACCGGCGGGCCGCGGTCTATGCATCTATGGTTTAGACTATAGAATAGAGAATTTCGTATAGATTCTATAATGCAAAACATTTTTAAAAAATTGTCTATAAATATAAGTTTTAATGATTCTATAATGCCAAACTTTTTCATAGAAAGGTAGTCTTTAAATATAAAATTTTATGGGTTATAGTGCTGTGGGTGGGTGCGGTCTCATGAAACCGCCAGGTATTTGACGGAATATGGCCGCGGTCTCATGAGACCACTAGGGGATTGAGCTATTTGTGTGCCGTCACGGTTTTTGGAACACATTTTTCGGTGACTGTGATCATGTAACATATCTATATAGTGTATAATATCATTGGGCATCAGTGTAAAAATTAAGATGCGGGGGGGGGGGGGGGGATAATGGGCTACCACGGTTCTTAAATTTAATTTATATAATATTTACTATCATATCACCTTATAGTTATTCCCCGCGACATCGTCCGCGTGGATTAGCAAAAACAGACAAACAGACTAATAAAAATAAAAATTGTTTTTTTTTTAAAATATAGATTAGAATTTCTGAAACTAAAAGTGAACCAAAGTATAAAAACATCAGTAATCTGATATTTTTGTAAACTTCTTTGGTATTATTTAATCTTTGACATTTTTGCGTTAGATGAAATATTAAAATGTCACTAAATAAAAAACAAATATACAAAAATAATTTAATTTTCTGACAAATATTTTTGAAATACATTATATATTAAATATTATACGTTTTGAACTCAAACCTTTTTTACAAGATTTGTTCAATGGCTTTCTAAATTAAGTAAACAATTCATAACTACTACGGATTACGTAATCTTGATGAATGAATAATGAATAATGGAAATTAGTCCTCCGTGAAATATCTTAACTCGCCTGTCCTAACAGTCGGCAGTCAAAATGACAAATAAATAAATAAAAATGACTATTTATAATAACTTATCTCTTCAGTCGTAAGTCCTATGTTAATGTTTATCATCTCATAATTGCTTAGTTACAGAAAGTACAAATAGTAGAGATGTGTACTGATCATGGCTAAATAGAAAATCACTATCAAAATTATGAATATCCCAAGAGTATATTATTACCAGGCTATGCTGTCAAAATCTTAGCGCACCCATAAAAAATTGCTCAAATTCATTTTTTCGTGTAAAAATTAGAAACTGTGAGGTATTCTAATTTAGTTAGCTTTTACGTGGTAGAGCCTTGATGCAGCTATATTATAGTTGTAGCACCAACCCATTCGTGCTCAACCGGTTAAGGACCACGCTCTCACAGAATACCAGCGTAAAATAGCAGCTTAATGTAACGGAGACCCTTTTTACTGGAATCGAGGCATTTCATCGGGCTGCCAACGCATCTGCATTTTGATTCTTAATAGAGGATAGATGTAGATGTCTATTGGCCAGAGTATCCACGTACCATCAAGTGGACTGTGTGCTCGTTTGTCAAAGTCCTCAGGGGTGACAAAGCATCTGTAGTCATAACACATATTTGCTCCAAGTTTTTTTGTAGCTGTTCATGATCTGCAATAGTCACTATCGGGTAGACTTTTAAATCGTTAACAATTCGAGAACAATTTATGCCTTACAAAAAATATGTGCTTATTCTAGCCCAGAATCAATGAAGTTGGGATGTAGAATACATGGTTGGCCTGAGGTGGCAACTACAAGTGCCCGCTCCAGCCGAAATGGAATCACGGGGGAAAAGACGTGTTTGTTTGTCGAGGCGCTACTTGTACTTGTTCTATCCTCTACGACTAAGGGGCCACACCGCTGATGCGGCAGTGGTAGGGCCACGAGGGAATTATATTGCGATCCACCACTCTCTCTACTGACTTCGGCAAAACGTGTTCGGCCTCGGTGGAAGTAATAAACCAGATCCACCGCTTACGCCGGAAAGGTTGGTTATTATGGCCTTCGCATAAAGAACTCGAGGGAGGATTCGTTGCGCAGACGCCGTGTAGGTAGGGTACTTTGCCTGCATAGAAAATAGGAGAGGAGTAGACTTTTACTGTTGTGGAGGCTTTAAGGAGCGGCTGGTACTGATGGGACTGTAAATGTGTGCGACAGCGACAGACTTAAACGAGTGGTCATAAAAAAGAATGGTTAGACTGATGAGTGAATCAGTCCCCTGTGTTCCTGCGTACTTTAACAATATATCCTGCGCAGTTAATATCTTCAGATGGTTTCGAAGTTGTCGCCAAGGTAGAAAATTGATCAAAAGAATATCACATAAACATGTTATCATCTTTTAAAAATATATCTAAGAATTACCTGGGTAAACAAGCTTTGCGCGGCGGCGTCTTTCGCGTTTGCTGTGGAAATGATAACATCTACTTCCAGTAACAGATAACATAATACATATATACTAGATAATATTATAAATCATATATTAAAAGTTTAGGAACACAATTTTTTGTGGTATTTATTTCACACTCAGCATACAGCTTATGCTAAGCTTATTACTTATTTTTCATATTTTAACAGGGAAGACGCGGTAAACAAAGTAATCAGGACAAACGCGGAGGATATTCCTGAGGAATGGGCACCGTGGAATCTTGTGGTTTGCACGAAAAATCCAAACGCGCCACCTCCCGTTGCGGTCAGAACTCCTGGACCGGCTTGGGACATAGGCCAGGTGATGTAATTAACAAGTAATATTTACACAGACACAAACACACACACACACATATATATATGTATATATATATATATATATATATATATAATGTTATACGACGCCTTATATGGCTAAGCGCTCACTATAAATTTCAAAGTGCGCAAGCGACCCGGGTTCTAACGTCCTCGGCATCAATGAAATAAATGCTGATGTACCACGTGCTCGACGATGAAGGAAATCGTCGTGAGGAAACATGCATGTCTGAAGGTGGGATATAAAAAAAAATATTTCAAAGATTTGGAACGTCCGCCAACACGCACTAGGGCAACGCTGCGGATATTTAGTTGCCCTAAAGCCGTCTCAAAAATATGATAAAAGCTGTGCTCCACAGTGGGACATATATATTTCTAAATATTGGTAGTTTTTTTATTACCTACGCGCTTGGTATCAGCTTTTATATTAAGTATGATTTAATAATAAATAATCTTTTTCTGTGACATCACATAATTTTTAGATACAACATATGTCTAGATGGTTGCGATCAGGGATTATTGCAAACTGCACACAATTATTTCGTAATTATATCTTGCATAATGTCATAAAAAAAAACATTGCGCACAGGTCACCAAAGCCGCTCGTCTACTTTTCAAACCACCAATGGAAGTTGAGTTTGCTGATGAACAAGAAATGCGCTGCGTTTATTCCCTCATTTATGATGTATTTAGATGTGAGTACAAATAAGTACGCAGGGTGAGTTTAATTTATTTTTTTGTTTATAACTGACCAAAAAACTAAAATAGTATAATTGCTTTGTTATATATAGTGAAAAGTCTTTCTTAAAGAATTTGATTTTCAAAAGATTATATATTTAGTTTCAAACGATATTCAATTAAATATCGTAGTACTATTTATAATATTTTTCCACGGTATATAATAAGCACAGATTATTAGGGGGTTATCTGCGATAATAAATTAGAACAAAGAAGGAGAAATCAACACTGAAACAGTACTATACAGATTGTCCCAGGAAACCTGTACCAGCAAATGTTTGTGGTTTGGGAACACCTACACGCGCATTTATATTATCCGGTTTTATTTTATACTTTTATTCGTCAAATTCAAATTAATGACAATATTTGACTTTCAGATTGTAATTAATTCGATACAGGTACAGTTGCAAAAGTATATATTAAGTATTATGCATATTGCATTTTTTTACAAAATTCATTTATTTTAGATTACTTCTATTACTTAATAGAATTTCAATTACATCTTTTTTCTTATCTAGTATTATTCATTCAAGCATTCAGAATAAAAATATTTCTTCGAAATTAAACGTAATGTCGTTAACGGAAGTTTACCGAAACCTCCATAAGCATTTTACATGGAGTGTCACGAAATCGCATAACTTTAACACGTAAATTGTATGGATTCCATCTACATTCTACAAACTTAGGATATATTTTAAAATCCTGCCTTTACAAATATAACACTCATAAACAAATATAGAGGAATGAAAAAAGGTCAAGGTAAGTGTAAAAATAAAAATATTATGTACAAAAATGTTCTTTCCGGTAAAAGTTTTCTTTTTTACTTAATTTGGTTAATTTTTATCATTTAATCATTTGTTTCTTCGAGGTTTGCAAATTAAATTGATTAAAATAACGAATAATAAGCAAAATTCAAATTAAGAAACTTAATTGTCACAAATATCCGTGATATTTTGTTTTCACCCTTTTTTGCATTCCTCTAAATATGTCTATGAGTACACATCCATGTTGCTCCACAAAATAAAACTCAGCAATTTTTCATAATATTTACAAACTTCTCATTCAAAAAGTAAAAACATTGTCGATTTTATTATTTCATAACTTCTCACGTTTTGATTTTACCTTAAAATACGGATATTTTACCTAGGTACAGGGAGCAAACGAGCATGCGTCTCACCTGATGGTACCAATGCCCACGAACAATTGCAACACCAGGGTATATGCGGGCACTTTACCAGCTTTTTAGAAAGAGTAGGCTCTTTTCTTGAAGGTCCCTAAGTAGTATCGGTCCAGAAAAAACGCTGGTCGTGTTTATTGGGGGCAGAATTATTAGAGAAGGACTATTGGCCCTGAGTTATTTAAACCGCCTGCTCGTTGTGATGAGTTTGAGCATAGCTTTCAAAAATGTATTTTAATGAAAAGACTTTGTCATGTAGTGAAAATTAAACAATGATGACGACTAACTATCCGTGAAAATGCAAACAAACGGTCCCCGTACATCTCTATAGCGCCTGTTGTAAATTACACCGCACCACGTTAGAAACTAGTTTAGCTTCTACCATAGTAAAAACAGAATAGTAAGATTCTTCCGCGCCTCGCGAGCCTTAAATGCCTACTGTAGCTGGGTTGGCATTGTCTTTTTGTATTACAGCTAAGTCTCATTTAGTTTTATAAGGAGTTATAATATTAACAAACATAATACATATGGATACTTGTTAATCATTTCTTTAGTTTCTTCTCAAAGAATCAATGTTTGTCGAACAAAAATACCAGCTTACATTACAACAAATGCCAAATCACTAAAATACGACAAAATTAACGCTGAACATATAGTGTCAGCTCAGATTTAATGTTTAAAATTAATTTGATCTGATGTGACATAATAGTTAATGATGTATAGATATAGTAATATAACCTATTAATAAAAAGCTAATTTACTTAAACAAACCCCCATATTAATTCAATTTACAAAAAGAAAAAAGTCAACAAAGTCTCAAACAAAATTCCTCGACTCGGCCAAACCTTTCCGACTTAGCAAGTGTCGTTGTGTGCGTGCTGTGACTCATGCTTATGTGTCCGTACTGTCACGTGTAGGGCGCGCACACATTTTAGCGGCGTTCGGTACATTTGTTAGAAGATAGCCTACTATTCTGTTTTTATTATGCTTCTACCGAACCCGGGCGTTATATAACTTTATCAAAACTAACACGATTCAGTGGCGATAAGGACGATGGCGTGACACTGAAATATATCATCACGAGTTGAAAACGCTACGCTACGTATTACCTATTAACAAGAGTAATAAAATCGACCAGATAGTAGGTAACACTCAGCCACGTTCTCTATTAAAACGGGGATATTATTTAATTTTAATAACTTTATGAATCATTCTTGGCCGAAATCGGTGTGTTATTATAGCGGATTTTTGTTCAATTAATTTTATATCATGATGAGGACAATCGCTATCAAAAAAATTGGTTGACCCTGCAGGCCAACTCTGGAACTTCCCGCTAATTTCAAACGCAAAGCGCTCAAAATTTCACGAAATTATGATGCGAAATCTCGAAGTTGAAGATGTAAAAAACAAAACGTTTTTTTTTTCAAATTCTTTCTCCTTCAATATATCACGAACGAATGAACCGATTTTTATTTTCCAAACGGCATTTAGGGTCATTTTTTGAGGTTAAGAGCTGATTAGTTTTTGAAATAGATCGGTAAAGACGTTAAAAGTTATTAAAAAAATCAGTTTTCAAAATTTTCCTTTTCGAGATTTGTCAAAGTCTACTGGTCCGAATCAGTTCATATTATCACCAAATCTATTCCAGATAGAGATCTTTAGAACGCTGCAAACCGCATCTTAATCGATCAAGACGTTCAAAAGTTATGAAAGGTTTACATACTTACACACACACACAAACGCACGCACGCACGCACGCGCACGCACGGTGCGCACGCCGCGCACGCACGCCGCACGCGCACGACGCGCACGCCCACGCAGCACGCACGCGCACGCACACGCACGCACGCACGCGCGCACGCACACGCACGCACGCACGCACGCACGGCAAGCACGCGTACACGCACGCACGCACGCACGCACGCACGCGCGCACGCACGTACGCACGCACGCACGCACGCACGCACGCACGCTCGCACGCACGCTCGCACGCACGCTCGCACGCACGCACTCATGCACGCTCGCACGCACGCACGCAACCACGCACGCACGCACACACGATGTATATATATATATATATATATATATATATATATATATACATCGTCCACGTGAAATTAGTCAGAATAGCTTCCTGAGATCTCAAAACGTCGAGATCTGATGAAAACTCGATTTTTGAAAATCGGGGTGAAACCAATAACTTCACTATTTTCGAAAATTTTCAATTTTCTTAGTGGGAAGCTAAAAATATTTTGGGTGGATATATATGACCAACTTGTTTACTAGGAGTAAGGTCATAGGGCCATACCGCAATTTGACGAGTCTTAATAATCACGTAGATCGCTTCATTTATGCAATAATAATAATATATAAAATTACTCTTCTAATGTTTTACTAGATTCAATGATGATGATAATGTCCTAAATATTTTCCCTTACACAAATATGGCCTTGTTAAGGATTCGAACTCATGAATTTTGACGTTAACAATCAAATACTTTGTTTATGTTAAATTGGTTGCGGCAACGAGACACATATTAGCAGACATGCCCAGGAGTAAAAACGTCATACACGGTGTAGGACCTATTTCACGTTCTATATGACACTTTTACTATGCAGCCATCATGAAGTTTACTTTGTCACGCGATTAAGCACATTTGTTTTAAACTTATGAGGACATAGGTTAACCATAATATGAAAAACAAACCATAATGCTGATAATTGCTTTTCAGATAAGTCCATACTAGACCAGGCTATCGAGGGAGTCGCTTTTTTTGAAGACTTTCCGCAGGTTAGAATTTCTTTCGGTAGAACTTATTAGACAAGAACATGAATGATTAGAAAATTATATTTCTAATTATTATGATTTCAATGACATCTAAAACTATGTCAACTGAAAACTATACCTTTCCACTGTTCTCTACTTTTTTGTTACATTGACATCCGTATTTTTTGTGTATTTAAAATTATTATGAGATATATTACATACTTTCATCTACCGTACGTTTTAAGCAACGATGTTGTGTAAATACTGCTGTTTTTCTTTGTGAACGGTATAGAGTCAGAATTATTACTGCAGCTGCACTAATATAGACTTCGAAGCATTTCACCTTATGTCTGCTACACACGTAACGATATATCGTAGCGATTAATATGTGCAAACCGATTTGCGCAGATTTATCGATCGTGTGTATCGTAATCGTTGCAGATTATCGTTCTTCGGCGGCAGTTTCAATTTCTATTATGTAGTTAATTAAATAATAATTGACAGCGATTCAAAGATTTGTTTTCGTTACCGAGCGGACCGCACCTTGTAACAAATTGAAAGCAGAAAGAGGTGGACATCGCAATTAACTGGAAGACAAAATCAAAGCCGTGCCGAGATCATAACAAAAAATTGCCCCCCTACGACAGTTATGTGTTTGAAGAAAAAAAATGCAAAGACTTTTTTTCTTCAAACACATAATCAAAAAACACATAAATCCCAATAACGCAAGTGCGTCTTCATCTTCCATCGAGAATTACATACATCTTGCGCGAGCTTCTGCGGAGAACTGACCATAGACAATATACTATACTTATAGAAATGCCGACCGACGCCAATATCGGAGGCGTGTGGACTGTGGTAGACACCAGAGGCGTTCGATTTAACTGCACAGTCTGAAATCGCTACGATATATCGTTACGTGTGTAGCAGCCATTAGTTATTCAAGTATGACGTAAACAGACTTAGGGGGCGAGGGTTCAATTTTTTCCCTTTTGCTGACAAAGGGAAAGGGGAAAATATTAAAAATCTTTAGTAAGATAAAAAATTATAAAAAAATAAAAATATTCAAAATATTCTTAAAAAAATTAAAAATTCAATTTTTATTATTTTATTATGGTATAGGGAATTTATTACTAAAAATAAATAAATGTGTTCACCGAGAATTGACTATACACTACTACAAGAGTATAGAAAAAGTTCTTACGTCTTATCATTTGGGAGAAGGGGGAGTTCGCAGCACACTTGAACGTTTCTTAAACGCCCCTCTGGTCCTCAAAGGTGACAACGCGTTCTACTTCTGTAGCTTTCTTTGTTTGATTTGGTCACAGGTACTATAATAGATACGTAGGTGATAAACCATGTGCCATTAATATATACAGGGTGGCCGGACCAATTGACGTCATAAAATTTTTTTTAGGTACGGCAGGTCGTGGGGTATTCGAATTACCCCCATGTATGTTCCGCGATTTTTGATATTTTTCGAGTTATAATTTTCTTTAATTTTTTTGGTAAATTTCGACTTGACCGTCTTCAAAAATTAAAAAAAATATTTGAAGACTTTTTTGAGATTTTTTATTTATGCAAATGAGTCTTCATGAGTTTTCCTTTTACGATAAATTTAAAGTGATGAAATTTTTTGGTCTAAATTTAAAAATTTACGTTTTGTGAGTTATTTCTTAATTTTTTAAATTTATATTAAAAATCTAAAGAGGTGGAAATTCAAAATCTAAGCCTGTCAGAAAAATGCGCCAGGCTCTTAGCTTTCATAATCATAAAAAATTACTACTTAATAGGACTTATTTGGCTAAAATTGGTCTTCAAAGAAAATCATCTTTCATGAGACTAATTACTTTGTTAAGTACTAAAAATAACTGCACATCACTTTGGTTTAAACATTGATTTATATAACACTAGATCAGTAATAACCGCGCCAAAGCGTTGCCACTGCACATATGGCCACAGCCATATGTCTAGCTAACGTGAGTTCATTGTTCAATGTGACGCCGACAGAGTTGAGCCGCGACAAAAATGGATAAATGCGTAGTGAAAGAATGCTATTCAAGGTCACAAAAACGTAATAAATCAAGCGGAATCACTTTCAACACATAATTTTTGGTTCTTGTTTTATACAAACGTAAAAAACCTCAAATAATTAAATAAAATTGTCGAATATTGCCATTTAGGTTCAATGTTGCCACTTTTTCGTATTTGTGATTATCCTACATTAATGGGAGATTGAGAGACATTACATTATTATACATTAATTAATGGAGTAAGTTAATTTGTTACCTCTGATTTTAAATATTTTGGAAATTATAATAAAAACTACGTTTTAAATTTCATACAAAATAATTAATTATTCTTATTTTAGTTTATTCATGAATTATCTATTAAATATATTTTATTACCTATTTTATATTAATAATTTTATATTATTTATAATTTCATATAAATTTTATATTAATTATATTTTATTACCTATTTTATATTGTTTGTTTTATTAGTACCATAAAAATACGTTTTATTTCATCATTATGTTTACTTCTATTCATCTGATAAGCTTTGTATCCTTTTTTTCTAAGGGGACGTAATAAAGATATGAAAATAAAATATACTTTTTAATATAAAAACAATTAACTGCAGCTTAAAAAGAACACATTTATATTACGTATTTTAGGTAAAATTTCATATAGTAAGCCACACCAACCCGCCATTGCATGTTTGTGTGTCTATCTTTATCTAATCTTAGCGACGATATTGTTTTCGCAACTTGTGTAAGTGAGATAGATATATGTTTACTTAAAATTGTTATTAGTTTCAAAGCTACGTCGTCGCGTTTGGATAGTGGTTACACTTTTTTCGATGCGCGGTAATGTGGTTTGCTCCTCTAGTGTTGTATAACTCAATGGGTTTAAACATTTGGACGTTTTCGGGTCATTTAAAAATTTTGAAGTGGTATTAATTTTTTTACTTTTAGTTTAAAACTTGCAACACCGACAGTTTGTCGCGAATCATGATTATAAACAAGGTAACTTTTTACCTGCAATAACAAAAGGATAATAAGAGACCATATTGCTATCTCTCTCAATCTTGATGGCGTGAGGGGCCGAGCGCAACCGAATAAACGCAAAACAAGTTCGTTAGCTACGAAACAACTTCAGTTGTGTTCACATTGTGTTCGCTGTTACTTGTGTCGCCATTTTGTTTGCCTCTGCTCTCGGACTCCGCCATTACTTACTTGTTTGACTACTTTGCTCGTTTACTGGACTCTGTTTTACATTCTGATTTAGACGTTGTTTATTTATTTTACACTTTATTGTACTAAAGGTACTGTTGCATGAATAAGTCAACTAGCGCCATCTAGTGTCAGGAACGAGAGCGAGGGGAGCATTGAGAAAATGACATCACAAATCGCTCAACTGACAGCGCCTAGTCGAAACTCGAACGCTCGGTACCTTCCGCGTGTTTACTTGAACATTCTGGATATTTCTTTGCTAATTCAAATATATAGGCGCTGCAAGATGCGATCGAGGTAGTGTTGATTTGGGCGAAACAAGCGAAGTTTCGGGCGGAATTAAGTGAATTAGTGTGTTTAATTATTAGTGTTTTAACTTTAATTTGTGTAAAGTAAATTAAAGTGTTAATTTAGGTAATTTTATCGGCAATTTTTATTGTCACGAACCTCAAGCTCGTAACAATTGGTGTCAGAAGTGGGATAAAATCATGCCGATTTTACCTAAGGAGGAAACGGAGGGTGTCCGTACCCGAAATCAACGCCAGCAGGAGACGGACCAAAGAAGATTTGGTGGTGCAACGCCGCTGACGTCGGAGGGCCAGCCGCCGGCTGCAGGCCCGTCAGTAGCTCCTCCATCTGCAGCACCCGATTTAGGTGCTCTGATGGTGATGCTGCAGGAACAGGCTCGCCGACAGGAGGAACAGGCTCGCCGACAGGAGGAACAGGCCCGTTGGTTGAAAGAGCAGCAGGAGGAACAGGCCCGCCGACAGGAAGAACAGATGCTCCTCGTGAAGGACATTCACGCTAACTTCGGGAAAGAGATTAGGGAGGTGAAGGATAGGGTTGCTCAACATGACAACCGCCTGTCGGAAGCTGAAACCCAAATCAAGGAAGCTAAAACCCAAATCGACCAAGTAAACAATCGGGTTGATTACGTGATGGCTGACGTGAAGAAACCGCTGGACGACCTCAAACTGGGGGATGGAACTACAGCTCCCGTAGTAGCTATTACACCTTCGCTACGTGGGTTCAAGGTGCCACCATTTGACGGGACTTCTTCCTGGTCAGCCTACAAAATCCAGTTCGAGGCTGTTATGAAGGCGAACGGCTGGAATAAAAGTCAGGCCATGACTGCTCTCACACTAGGCCTGCGCGACCAGGCCTTAACAGTTCTGGAAGCTCTCGGTGAGGAAGTGACTTATGAGCAACTCCTTGAGGCATTGGAGGCGAGATATGGCGACGCTCACCTGGAACACGTCTTTCGTGCGCAGCTTAAAGATCGTGTGCAGCGCATCAACGAAAACCTGCAGCAGTGGGCTCTAGAAGTGGAGAAGCTGGTGCGAAAAGCATACCGGTCTGTACCTGCGCTCATTGAAGGGAACCTGGTGCAGACATTCATCGACGGCATCCGCGACCTGGAAGTCAGAGCTGCTGTGAGGCTCGGGCACCACGAGACGCTTAAGGACGCCTTGGCCCATGCACTGGAAGTGGAAGCCGTGCGGCAGGATCATCGTTCCCATCGCGTCAGGGAGGTTGCAGCAGCTACAGTTCGCGACCGCAACAAAGGATACAGCCCAAGGTGCTATGGCTGTGGGGAAAAGGGCCATCTTCGATCCAGCTGCCCTAAGCGAACCCTAGAAAGGGAAATTGAACGATCTCAGGAGGGTAGTGCGGCCAACAGCACCGCCCAGCAGCGGCAGGGAAACGAGTAAAAGCCAGAACTGCGGGGCGGGTGCTGGCTGATGTTAAAAGAGCCCCAAGGATCTCGATCTCACAAACCCATGATGGG